TGGAAATTAAGTAGTAAAATTAGCAAAAGAACAAAACCTCTCCGATCACAGTCTTAATCGTATGGCTATTAGACGGGAAATGAAGTTGTAGTCTTCAGCAGATTTGACAGCATACAGGCAACTAAACAGTCAGATCTCTAAATGCATGCGGTTGGACTTACGCAACTGACTTACGCAGCTCGTATTGAACCCGGACTCCAAAGTCTTTTCCAGAGATCTGTCTGCCAGAAAGAAGCAACTGTCGAAGTTGAAGACCGAGTGTGACAGCATCGTTTCCGGGACACCCGAGATTTTGAGTGAGATTGAGACGTTCTGGTGCAGGTAAACATCATTATTGGAGCCACACGCAAGTGTCAGTAACGATCCAAGAGCAAGTCTTATCCAACACTATTCCGATGATATTCAAGAGTTCAGTCTAAGTGAGATTAAAAACGGCAAGTCCACGAACGAGGATGGAATTGCAGCGGAACTTCAGAAAGGGGGTGGAAAACGGGTACTTGAAGTCCTCCAGAAGCTCTTTTAGTCCGTGAGGATGGAGGCATAGTGGTACTATACCGGAGGTGTGGAGCAGAAGTGTGGTGGTCTTGTTGTTCAAGCAAGGCGACAACGCTCTCTTGAAAAACTACAGATCCACGTCTACGTGCTGTTTTAGAGAGTCATTACGTATCGTCTCGCACGCAGACTCGACGACTTTCAGACTCCCGAACAAGCCGGTTTCCGAAAAGGCTTTAGCACCATAGACCTCATACATACCCTCCGGCAAATTCTACAGAAGACCGAAGAGTACAATTTTCCACTTTGTCTTGCGTATGTGGACTATGATAAATATTTTGATTTCGTCGAAATTTTGGGGGTGCAGCAGTCCCTTCAGCGGTGCAAAGTTGGTTGTTATTACATCGAAGTGCTGCAATGTTTATACAGTACTGAGTGCAGAACCAAAGTACGAAACCTATCCAACTACGACGGTGACGTTATATCCTCGAAACTCTTCGCCGCTGCATTAGAAGGCGTTTCCAAGCTACTGGACTGAAAAGGATATAGCATTACACTAACCTTCAATTTACCGACGGTATAGTCCTTAAGGCAGAATCGCTGGAGGACCTAAGTAATATGCTCAATAACCTCAATAGTGACTCCCAACGGATAGGTCTTAAGATGAACATGGATAAAACAAAGATCACGTTTAAGGTCCATGTGACACCTATGCCGGTATTTGTGGGGAGCACTAAGCTTGAAGTTGTTGAGGAGTATGTTTACCTGGGACAAATAGTGTGGTATGTCCAACTTCGACCAAGAGGTCAATAGACGGATTAAATTCTGATGAGCAGCGTTCGGGAAATTACGACACATCTTCTCGTCCAGTATACCTCAAAACTTAAAAACGAGATTGTACAACCAGTGCGTGTTACCAGTGATGAGCTATGGGTCTGAGACGTGGTCTTTCACTGCTGGCCGTATGAGGGAGCTCAAAGTCGCTCAGCGAGCTATAGAAAGGGATATGCTCGGGGTTTCGCTGCGTGATAGGCTTCGAAATGAGGATATCCACAGTAGAATAAGAGTGACTGACATAGGCTCACGGATGAGTAATCTGAAGTGTAATTAGGAAGGTCATATAGATCGAAAAATCGACAACCGATGGTGCAAAAAGGTTCTCGAGTGACAGCCTCGTGCCGGTAGGTGAAGTGTAGGGCTAGATGGAATGATGACCTGGTAAGACGTGCAGGAAGTCGAAGGATGCAAGTGGCTCAAGACAGCGCTTTTTGTCATTCCTTGGGGGAGGCCTATATTCAGCAGTGGACTTGTGAAGGACTCTAATGAAATGGAAAATTAGCAACAAAAAGGTGGGGATGCAATTTACATTGAAAATGTTTATTTCACCCAATAGGCACAAAATTAATGCTGGTGTTCTACAAGGCTGCTTGCTATCGCCAACGCTGTTTTTTCTGTATATCAATGATATGTTGCAAGACCGTAACATTCATTGCTATGCAGATGACAGCACTGGTGATGCTCTGTACACCGGCCGTGCCAATATTTCTCGTGAAAACGTCTCCGAGCACTGGGAAAAACTTGTGTCTGAAGTCGAGTCTTTGCTTAACAAAGTGTCGGATTGGGGGCGACTAAATCTAGTCCAGTTTAACCTTCAGAAGACACAAGTTGGTGCGTTAACCGCTAAAAAGAACCCCTTTGTCGTATCTCCTCAGTTTCAAGGCATTCCCCTTGTTGCCTCAGCCAGTATCAAAATCCTCGGCGTGGACATATCGAGTGACGTGCAGTTTCGTGGTCACTTGGAAGAGAAGACCAAATTGGCCTCAAAAAACTTGGCATGCTAAACAGAGCGGGACAGTATTTCATGCCGGCATACCGCCTGCAACTTTACAAGGCGCGGGTTCGGCCGCACATGGAATACTGTTGCCATCTCTGGGCTGGGGCTCCCCAGTACCAGCTCCTTCCACTTAACCGCATCCAGCGCAGAGCGGCTCGAATCGTCGACGACCGAGTGCTTTCCGATCGGCTTGATTTACTGGCGCTACGAGGAGATGTTGCATCTCTTTGCACTTTCTTTCGCATATACCACGGGGAGTGCTCTGAGGAATAGTTCGGATTAATCCCAGCCGCCAAATTTCGTGAACGTACTACGCCGCAAATGTCCCGATACCATCCACACCATCTGGATCTTTAGCAGTCCACTACTGTACGTTTCAGGAATTTTCTTCCGCGTACGACCTCTTTGTTGAATAGTTTACCACCGGCGATTTTTCCGAACCGATACGATCTAGTCCGGATCGATACGATCTCCGATCGCGTAAACGTCACATCGGATATGGGTGAAATTACGTTAAGCGTTTCAACCGTCGTCAAATCAAGTCAGTGTTTGCAATCTTGTGATATTGAAATATCTCTAGTGCAGTTAGTAACCTCCCGACTGTAAGTTCGGGAATCGTCGCCTTGACCTCATATTAAAGATAAAAATCGTTTATTTGGTCGGCCGCTATATGCCATGTAGTTTAGAATAGCTAAACAATGAAGACATAATCATCAGTGTCATTTTTATAACGCAACATAAGTGTTTTTTTACATATATAATTTACAACGAGCTAGCAATCAATATGATATTAAGTGGTTACTGCAGTCATGTAAAACTGTATCCAACTATAAAGAGGCTGCAGGTGCTTCGTCACTACTGAAGACTAAAATGTCAACCTTCGAAGCCTGTTTTTCTTTTTCATCATCAGCTCGTTACAGTCCACAGCTGGACATGGACACCTTTTGTGAGCAGAATTTGTCTTAATCGTGACACTTAATAGGCAGTTAGACGATCGCTGTGCACCTTTGACTCTGCTCTCGCTACTCCAGGGGTATGAAAGTCCTCTGTAGCTTGCTTTCATGTTGATACTAGCACCATCTCAGTCGTATAAAGCACTATTTTATATTTTTTTTTTTTTTTTTTTTTGTGCTTTATATATGTATATATATATATGTATATATATATATATATATATATATATATATTTATATATTTATATATTACAAAAGAAGGCACTACTGCTGACATTTAATACGATAATCACGCTATCAAGCTATTGAACTGTTGCGGTGTATATATAAAATAATGTCTTACAAAATGTGTGCGTTGTCGTTGGCGTGTCAAGGTAATGTAATGAATACCGAAGAGAAAGTTTTGTTTATAGCGAAATAATTATAATTATATACTATAACTATTTGTTACTCCCTACTTCGTCCGTGTGCATTTTATTACGTTTGAATTTCATAGGCTTTAATTTTTCTAAAGGAAAAGCCTAGCGTAAGTTACTCCTTATAACATTAGCTATCTGCCGGTGAAATTCCCGTCAAAATCAGGATACCTAAACAAACAGACAGACAATAATTTTAGTTTTTTTTTGTTATAGGTACCGTATATACATTCATATTATGCATTTAGTAAACAGCTGTTATTTTCACACTTCAACTTTATTTATTTGTATATACACATTAGGGTCTCAATAATTCGAATACCCAAAAATGTACAACCTGTTCGGATTAATGAGACATTCGGATTATAGTGTCTATGGGGATATTTTAAGAGGTGATTTCCGAAATGAAACATAGATTTTGATTATTAAAAGTGAATATAAATTTAAACTTAAAAATAGTATGAGTGGTGTTTAATGACAAAAAAATGCTTTATCCCTCATTGACGTAGCAACATTTTTCCTAAAATTGAAACATCTACTTAATTCGCTCATTCAAAGCATTCATTTACGTACATAACATTTACGTAGAATCCTTGTAAGTGCTTTCTATTAGTATTTGTCTTACTATGTCTTTATTAGTTAAGGGTTCCTGATAAAATCTCCTTTCCTGAAAAGCCTCTACGTTACGGGAAATGTTCAATGGAAGATCATCTTCAGGGTCAAAATCATATAGGTCTTGACCAGAAGTTTCCTCTGGTTTGAATAACAAGGGCCACAAAAGTTTCCAAGATTTTTTGATCAAATTTGTGGACACTTGTTGCCAACATTGAGCCAGAGAAAATACAAAATTTTTCATGGTGTTTTTTAAGGATTTTAGATGATGTGCAATCTTAATCTACTTCTTGCTGACGAAAAACTTGTAACAGGCGTGTTTTTTTTTGTGTGTTTTACTTTAATATTCTGGATTAAGCTTTGATTCATTCGTTAAATCAAGGCTGTACAGTTAGGCGGCATGTATAGAACAGTGGAGTTTTCGTAAATCGACTCCAGATCTTATTCTGATCTGAGATATCCTGTGAGACAGCGGCTTGTGCGAGGGAACGGGGTCGTTCGGAATATAGAGGCCTTCGGATTATCGGGAGTTCGGGTTATCAAGGCTCCCCTGTATATAGTTTATAAACCTGAGGCTTCTTTTAATGGCACTTAGTTTGCGTGTTTTATAACTTGTCTCTGTTTATATAAGATAAATGTACCATTGCACAGTTACAACTTACATATACATTTTGATATAGGTGTTGTTTACAGAGACGAAAATGATGAATCAGTACCACTCGCAATACGAAGAAAATGGATACCGAAAATGCTTGGACCATTGCCACCTACATTCCTCCGTATACCACCGGGAAGTGACGCTAGAGTAGACCTTAGTTTAGAAATGGACGACGACAAAATTGCTGCATTCCTGCAGAATGAAGAGTTTATGGCTGAACTGCGATGGAATCAAGAGTTTATAGCAGCATTAGATAGCGAACAAGGGCACAAAAGCAAAGGCCACGACGATGAAGCGGCATTCAAAGAGAGATTAAAGAATATGGGAAAATGTGAGTAAAGAAACTAATGATTTTTTATTAATTAATTGATATGTAGTAATAACTTCAAAAAAATGCATTGAGAAACCTAATACCGGTTGTATAAAAGTTACAGCATATATACGTCCCAATGCTGGGCACAGACCTTCTCTCATTTCTCAGAGAGTTTTAGGGCAAGGAAGTGTCGGCCGCGCTGCACCAATGCGTGTAAAAGAACTTCACATCATGTCTTCGAAATATTTTTTATATCTCAGACATGCCGGTTTTCTCACGATATTTTCCTTCACCGCCGAGCATGTGGTAAATCAGCACTCAAAATTGATATCAACAATTTCGTTGGTGCTGGCGGGGATCGAACCCGGGTTGCTCGTGTACTGTGAAATTTACAGCGAGCGCTAAACTCCTGTCCTACCACGGTTCAATGCCGGTCGGTACATCTAGAATTTGAATTTGATTTTTTTTTGAATTTGAATCTTGTATTTGAACCCAAGCTCCACAATGTCAATTTTTTACGTGGTAGAGCCATGCTGCAGCTATATTGTAGTTGCAACACGAAGGGGGCGGCTCGACCGGGGCAGGACCACACTCTCACAGAATATCAGCGTAAAATAACAGCTTAATGCTGCTGTGGTTCGTATGGTGAGTGTAGAGAACCGGAGACCCTTTTTACTGGAAACGAGGCATTCCATCTTAGTTCTGACGGGTGACAACGCATCTGCATTTTGATTCGTAATCGAGGATAGATGTAGATGTCTATGGGCCACAGCAACCACTTACCATCAGGCGGACTGTGTGCTCGTTTCTCACCCTATCCTATAAACAAAAATTTGAAAATTTGAACCTTGTCCATTCTATGTTCCACAATTTTTGACTTTGTAAAATGTTTAAGCTAGAGATTGTCTCAATGATAACAATATATCATGTTCAAGATCACCTTTATTAGCACTTAGACTCAAATGCTGGAATCGCCTCCTTTTACATTGTCTGTAGTTAGTTGTCTTATATAAAACACATCAATTATAATAACATAATATGTTGATTAAAACTACTTTTACGGATTTTTTCGCGTTTTATTTATATTAATTTTAATACCCGACGTTTCGGGTGCTTTCCAGCACCCATGGTCACGGGGGACTGAGGTGACTGACGTCCCAATGTCAAAGTTAACCCGGAGTACCTTCAGCTTTTTAATTATTGTCTTTGGTCCGATCTACGAAGAATGAATTGGGGCCATCTAGAATATGATCGCAAACTGCAGACTTCCCGGAACGTTGATGCTTCACATCAGCTATGTGTTACAACCATTACATCAGATTTGATAGACCACAAATCCTCGCGAAAGAACATCGATTCCTACCAAGGATGATACGTGAGGCTATTGAAATTCAAAAAACATCCTAATTTCAATAGAGAAGGAGGCTGGGTACTACCACCTGCTTGGGATCCTATAATTAATAAAATTAAAACTAAACCCAAGCATACCACTGCAAGACTTCAAAATACAGTTAGATCATTCTGCGTAGATCGGACCAAAGACAATAGTTAAAAAGCTGAAGGTACTCCGGGTTAACTTTGATATTGGGACGTCAGTCACCTCAGTCCCCAGTGACCATGGGTGCTGGAAAGCACCCGAAACGTCGGGTATTAAAATTAATATAAATAAAATGCGAAAAAATCCGTAAAAGTAGTTTTAATCAATGTATAGTGTTCGCGTAAATATAAGAAATCATTACATAATATGTATTAAATAATAAGGTAGATTTGTGATTTGCTGCGGAGGCAAAGCAGACAAACATATTCCACGGGAAATTAACTAACGAAAATCTGAAAAACGGTTAAACCTTGCAAGCCATCCCTGGAACTTCCCGCTATGTTCGCTCTCAAAACGCTGGACAAATATTTTTACCGACTTATAGTTAATTCATTATAACAATATAAAACATCCGAGCAGAAATTTCAAACACTGGGACTGGCTTTCATACCAAACACAGATAATTATTAACTTACCTATGTGACAATCAAATATATCAACAAAAATTTCACACTAACTTACTTCAGTTAGGCAGTCAATAGTAGTAATGTAAGTATGTACAGGCTAGGTTAGATAAGTAGAAGAGCTTAGTATTGTATTACCTATATTGTTAAATGATCAAGTTGTAATAGCTTGAAAGAAAGAGATTTGGTTCTTCATTTGTAACTCACTACTCAATGGGAGTAAAAGAGTTACAAGTCGACAAATTTTTACATTTATTGTTTTTTATTGCGTTTATAACTGGAAAAATCACAAAATATATGATACTGATATAGAAATAACAGGTATTTGATAATATTAAAGATTGCGGGCTCACTAAAGATAAAGCAATTTGCTTATTTCTAAATTATTCCTCCAGTTCTGTGCACCTTGGAGTATGCATCATCACTTTTTCTGGCGGCCCAATGTAAACTACGCGAAAGAAATATTTCGATAGTACATAACAACCAGGCATAAACACTAAAATAACGGGATTAGATCACTCTTTGAACAGAAAATGTAACATAACCTCTACACTCTTCCATTATTCGGTAAAAAATAATTCCTTAAACTCTCTGAGCCTCCTATCACTAATCACTATATTTCAAATCATGTATAATACTTCTTCGATATTAAAGCACACTGACATTATGCAATATCACCCGTTTGAAGTCAGTAGGTAAGTTGTAGTAAGTCCTTAATAAAATTTATACATGCAGGGATAACGGAGCAGATGAAAGAGTTTTATGCCCATCAGTCCCTTTTAGTTTTGAACGAGGCGACATGAATGCGTCGGCTCGACCGGGGAAGAACCGCGCTCTCACAGAGTACCTTTGTAAAATAAGACCCATTTTACTGGATACGAGGCATTCCATCCTAGTCCTCATGGGTAACAGCGCAACTGTATGTTGATTCGTAATGGAGGATATACGAGTATGTTGATTGATATCTATGGGCTACAGCATCCACTTACCATCAGGTGGACTTTGTGCTCGTTTCTCACAATAATTATATTAAAAAAATGAAATACCTAATTTGTATTTTTGGAGTGTGAGTGGAAAATCTGTTAAAAAATTATATTTTTTGATTAAATTATGTACAATTTTACGTGTTATCGTACATTCCTACAAAACTCAGATTTTTTAATTACTTTAGGGGGATTACTATCGTATATTATAGATACCATTGTTATTTGCTATAATGTTAACGCTTTAATTTATTTACGTTTGTCATTTAATAAAGCAACCTCTAAAACGCTTGTGCTTTTGAATTAAGGCGCTTTAGTTAACTTTGATTGCCTAGTTTTTTCAGTCTTAGGTCATTAGGAGGTGCTCTCCTTACACATGCCTCAGTGCTCAGCGTCAAGCCAGCGATGTTTTTATTTTTCATTGCATTGGGTGACAAACAAGCACTTGGTGGATGCTGTTGCACATAGACATCCACATTTATCCTCAACTAAGAATCAAAAATGCAAATTTGTTGTCACCCCGGAGGACTAATATGGAATGCCTCAATTTTAGTAAAAAGGGTCTCCGGTTCTCTAAACTCGCCATACAAAACATAGCAGCATTACGCTGGTATTTGTGCGAGCGTGGTCGACTTATTCCTGCTACAACTATAATATAGCTGTAGCGTTGCTCTACCACGTACAAAATGTGTGAACAAACGCATCTAAGTACACGATCAATCTGCAATCCCTCATGTCCACGTAACAATGATGTCTACAATATGACTACGTCTACGAGAACTGTTTACTTAAAAAACCACAGAAAACTCGTCTCTGTATTAAATCATATCCAATCTAAATTTATATATAATTTATATGACAAAAAAAACAGAATACCTGCTGCTGATGAGCTTTCGCACCGTTTCCTCTCCGGTCTGAGGAACTTTATTTTGAAACACTAGTAGATTAAAAAAATACATTTGACTTGACTTGATTTTTTTACTGGTTCGAAAAAGGGAGAAGGTTCTGTATGAGATTGTAAGTTTTTCTATACCTATGTATGTTATGTGATATCTTCGTATCTTAATATCATTTAAATAATTAAACTATTTAAATGATATTAAGATTGTGATATTACTAAAAATTATTAAATAAAAGCATCTATAGTTATATTTATAATTATTAAAAAGTAAAAGCTTTTGAAGTCAAACATCTAAAGAGAAATAATTTCACTTACTAAAATCGGGGTTTTAATTAATCAATACAATAAAACTTAGCACCGACTTTAGAATGTGAAATTATTTTAAACTTTAATTAAAAAATTAATAAACGTTTAACAAGAAATAAGAAGAAGACGTATGTTATGTGATATCTTTGTATCTTAATATCATTTAAATAATTAAACTATTTAAATGATATTAAGATTGTGATATTACTAAAAATTATTAAATAAAAGTATCTATAGTTATATTTATAATTATTAAAAAGTAAAAGCTTTTGAAGTCAAACATCTAAAGAGAAATAATTTAACTTACTAAAGTCGGGGTTTTAATTAATCAATACAATAAAACTTAGCACCGACTTTAGAATGTGAAATTATTTTAAACTTTAATTAAAAAATTAATAAACGTTTAACAAGAAATAAGAAGAAGACGAATAAATACTTACGAACGAAAATAAACAAATATATTTTTAAGGCAAATGATACAAACTATATTTCAGAATGCAGTATTTAGAACCTAATTCATGAAAGTAACATTTTAAGGTATCTTTAAAGATTACTACCTACTAAAATTTTTCTTGTTCGTTTTAGTTTTGCGATTTGGCAGTGCTGAGCTTTTTCATTTAAACATACTTCAAGAATATGCGTATGTTACTGCTTGTACTTAACTAGACACCTTGGTATCTGAAGCAGACCTGGTCATTAGGGTAAATGGCAACCAAATCTTACTGTACATTCTTTACTCACAAAATATTATTTTGATAAACTACAATTATATGCGCCATTATTATCATCATTATATATAGATATCCCTTCACCACTGCTCAGTCGACTACTTAACGTAATGTCATATGCATATTTCATAATGCAATGACAAATACTGAACATTATTCATGTAATACGAATGTGGAAGGTACCATTAACATAGACGCCCTCGTAATAACAAAAACTTAGAAAATTTTTGTTTAATTTTAAACTTATTACATTTTAGTGTCTCGCAAGAAATTCGCCCAGCTGTCGAAAATGTTCACACGAGGTGGTCCACGGCGCAGTGGCAGTTCACGTGCTGTCCCTCGCGGTCCACCCGACAGTCTGCTGTTGCAAGAAGAACATAGCGATGAGGAAGACCGCCCACAACAACAAAAGATTTAACCAAAATCTAGACTGATTGAATATCAATTCAACATTATATTAAAAAACTACAATTTAATAAAAAAAACATCATAGCACGCCAGCTTAGCGACGCTAAGACTTATAGAACTGTTTCCTTTTGCGTGTGCAATTTAATGTCATTCCTTTTGCCTAAGTGTAAATTTTTAATGATAAAGGTACGAGACGGCAATTATTTTCAGGGGCAATGGTGATGCCAGCAACTATAAACACGACATCCCAATTTTTATGCTTGATATCCATCCGAAGGTGATAGATGAGGTAGCCTAAATTGGTAAAACAGTGAACTAGCTTAGCTTAACATATCCTTATTTACTCTTACCTTGACCAAAATATATAGGTATATTTATTACCTTAAAGTCAATTCGTTACTTTGTAATCGGTATGTCGACAGCAAATGGTTGGAGACTCGCCGAACGCCTCGTTGTCCGATGGCGGTAAGGACAGAGAGGAATTAAGTCGTTTATTTAAGTGTATATATAATAATCTATATAATAATCTCTCCATAGCCCACTAAGTGACTTGAGCGTCCACATACGGCCAGCAGTGAAGGACCACGTCTCAGATTCATAAGTCATCACTGACAACACGCACTGGTCGCAAACTAGTTTTCAGGTTTTGAGGTATAGAGAAGAGAAGATGTGTGGAAATTTTTCGAACGCTGCCCAGCCGAGTTAAATCCGTCGATTGACCTCTCGGTCGAAGTTTGTTTTGTGCATGTTCATGTTAAGAATTAGTGAATAGTGTCTCCCATATCCCATTCAGATTAATACCGTATCCTTTCCGGTTCTGTAGCTTGAAAACGTCTTCCAACGCAATGGTGAAGAGTTTCGGGAATATAACGTCACCCTGTCTTACACCTCTTTGCAGTTGGATAGGTTTCATACTCTGGTTCTGTACTCTGACAGCCATTGTAATCAACAACAAACACTTCAGCACTTCCTTATACCGACAGCAAAATGCGTGATAAGCTTAGCAATGAGGATATCCGCAGTAGAACCAGAGTAACCGACATAACCAAATGGATTAGTAAGCTGAAGTGGCTATGGGCCGGCCATATAGCTCGAAGAACAGACAACCGATAGGGAAAAAAGGTTCTCGAGTGGCAGGCTCGTACCGGTAGTCGTAGTGTAGGGCGACCCCCACTAATTGGAGTGTCGACCTGGTAAGACATGCAGGAAGTCGATGGATACAGGTGACTTAGGCTTAGGACCGTGCTTTGTGGCATTATTTGGTGGAGGCCTATGTTCAGCAGTAGGCATGTGAAGGGCTGTAATGATGATAATGATGATATGTAACTGGCTTTCCCACCACAGCTTTCATCATTCTATGGATATTGTAAGAGCCGACAAAAGAAAACTGAAACAGAAGATGGGCAGCATCTTCCTGATAACAACGCAAAATAATAAAACGCAATTGCTTGAAACCTGCCAGTGCAGTATGATCGCTATGGCAAACATCCCTCCTATGAAACAATTTATGGGGGAGGCCTATGTTTAGCAGCGGACTTTGATAGACTGTAGTGATGATGATGAGTTAGTGGGTAAGCCCCTTAGCTGAGGCTAAAGCTGTAAGGTGGCATTTTGCACCACCAGCATAGCATACGCACGTATGTAACTTCGTATCGCGGTCGCGGTCGGCTACACACTACGATCATGCTCGGTTTATTGACTAGATCATACATCCATACCGTAACATAAGTACTGCAACTTATTTATTTATACTTTATTTAAACATGTGGTATATTGGCAGACTTAATGCCTGATATTCTTTAACAGTCTATCTTGACGTTTAGTATTGCCTAGAAATGTAATAGTTTTTAAAGAATATGGTGACAAACGAGCACACAGTCCACCTGATAGTAAGTGGACGCTGTGGCCCATAGACATACATAGATATACATTTACCTTCGATTAAGAATCAAAATGCAGATGCGTTGTCACGCCGATGGAATGCCTCGTTTCCAGTAAAAAGGGTCTCCGATATTCTACACTCACCAAACGAAACATTTACGGTGGTATTCTGTGAGAGCGTGGTTTTTCCTTTGAGAAAGGGTTTTTCCCCGGTCGAGCCGACCCATTCGTGCTACAATAATAATTAAGCTGCAGCGTGGCTCTACCACGTTTAAAAGTTTAGTTTCATGGTTACTATGCAATAGATTTTGTATTCGGTGAAAATGATTTTTATTATCAAACTTACCTGTAAATAATAGAATAATAAATATAATTGTTAACTTATAGCACGTAAATCTGAGGAATAAAATTAAAAACGTAATTTTATTATACTATTGTTATATAAAAGGTCACGCTTTGCCAAGGAACTTTTTTAAGGCTAACTGTCGTTATCGTTGTCATCATTTAATAGGCTTAGAACAATAATTGACCTTTTGGGGAAGTTCACAAAGTATTGTAAAAGACTGGGATTGTTAGATACAGACCTTAAAATGTAATTTTAAGATAGTGAGGTGGATTGTTTTATGTATATTTAGCAGTAAGTAATCTTAGATCATAATATGATCTGAGGAGTAAACATGTAAATATATTTGTTATATAGTATAGATTATAAATTTTACGCTTCTGCTTCATTTTAAAATAGATTTGCTACTGCTAATGATGCTATTTAATCATTTTATATTTGAAGGTTACTGTTTCATATTAAATATTATAAAGTAAAGTCATCATTTTAATGCAGTCTGCGAACATTTCAATTGTTTTGAATATGGCTTTAGACATTGGCGAAATAAATTTATTGTTCCGAAGATTAACGAATAAAAGTTGTGTAATACAAAAATAAAACGAGTTGTTTACACAATATATTTAAAGACTTTTTAAGCAAAAGCTTTGTTAATATTATTTGTAACTAAAAGTTAACTTGAGGTTCTATGCGTGCAGGATAAGAATAGATATATATTTTATTATATATATATATATATATATATATATATATATATATATATATATATGGAGTGGAGTGGTAGATATATATATATATATATATATATATATATATATATATATATAGCATTCTTCTGAATCCATCAGTATCTATTATGTGGAAACTTAGATTATGAAGTCGTTTTTCTTTTCAATATAAACGTTTAATTTTTTAATCTTTTGATTGGACTGAGAAATATAGTTATTACAAGTAGTTATTACACGGAGGACTAAATAGTTACAATAAAAACATTATTGCCTTTTCTCTATGTTTAGTAGTTGATTTTTTTTAATATGGGATAGAAGATTGTGATGTAATAGTACCACAAGCAAAGTTTTTTATTGAAACATTTTGGATATTGTAACTGTGTTTATTACACCAGTGTGTCTACCAAGTACCAAGTCCGGAAAACAACACAATGCACAAGGACACACTAACATTTTGACTTTTAAGTAAATTTTGAATACCAGTAATCTCAAACTACATTAATAAACCTTTTATAGTTTTTTATAGTTCTTACGTTATTAAGGTCTAGAAAAAGTAATTTTTCTTCTTACACTGACTCAATAATATTGGGGGTTTAATTGGATTACAAAATTTTTTTTTAACGGACTTTAAAATCTTGAAAAGCGTTTTGGTAAAAAAGGCTTGATCTAGGTACTCGAAAGAGCCCTCTACGGCACACATTACCTCATCATCGCCAGCGAATTTTATACCAAGAAAGTCCCTTTTTAGGTGAGTAAAATGGTGAAAATCAATCGGAGCTAGGTCCGTAAAATATGGTGGGTGCTGCATCAACTAAAACCCAGCAATCCGGATCGCAAAATTAGTTCGATGGGTAGGGCCATTATCATGAATCATGATAAGAAAGTACTCCGGCACTAAATTTTCTTCGATGGTTATTCTGTAGTTGTTCGCGTAGTTTTTTGATTAAAGATGCGTAATAATCTCCGGTTACAGTCTCCTTTACTTAAATAGTGGATTAATATTAACCTTCCGCGTTCCAGAACACAGAGGCCATTATTTTCCCAGCGAACGCATAAACCTTGAATCTCTTGGCTGACGGGAAAGGCGATCTTTTCTAGATCTTGCTTGGGTTTTTCATCTTCGGGTCAAAATAGTGTACACACGTTTCAGCTACGGCTACGAAACGAGCGCAAAAATAATCTGAATATTCTTAAGTGATTGCTAAATTTAGCTTTCTTAATGTGTAATACCACAGAATAAATAATAGTACTACGTAGTAATACTTAAATTATTGTTTATATTCATCAAAACACGTTTTGCGTCCCACTTCTGGGCACAGTCCTCCCTTCATTTCAAAGGGGTGGCCGCCGCGCTGCCCCAATGCGTGTTCGCCAACATGTATTCGATTTTTTTTTATTTCTCAGACATAAAGGTTTCCTCGCGATGTTTTCCTTCTCCTAAGAGCGAGTTATAAATCAGCACTTAAAGTTGCAATTAACAATTACATTGGTGCCGGGATGCTCGCGTTCTGTGAAATTCACAGCGAGCGCTAACCATCTAAGCTGATATTCATAACTTGCTTTGCCGTGTTTACTTAGTTCCGACTGCCCTCGAAAGAGGCTAACGTTTTTCGAGAGTATGTGTCTACCTATGTTTGTTTTTTTGGCGCGCTCTGTAGCATCATCCGCTTGATGGATTTTAACATATTTGAGGTGTCGTTAGATAATTATGCAAGTGACATTGGCTATATAATATTTCTAAATTGCATCAGCAAATATAAAAAAGGGAGTGAAAGGTTTGTTTTCAGCAAAATTTTAAACGCAGTCGCCTTTTTTAATTACTCTTTTTACCATTAAGATTGTACTTATGATTATGAATTGTTCTACTTAGATCGAACCAAAAATTAATATTCAAAAATTCAACCATGACACTGCAACGTCAAATATCTCAATCCTCCACTTGCATTGGGTGCGTTTGGCAGAAAAAAGCGCTAACAAGCGCTTACAAGCGCTAAAATAGTTTTCGGCCAGGACACGATTGCTACTTCAGTAGCGCTGAGGGTGCACAATCCGCCATTTTGC